AACTAGTCGCGTCCTAGATGATTCTGGCAAGCGCTGTAAAATATGCTGTAGCTCCGCTACCCAGGCCGCCAAGTCCGAGTGGATTTCATCCCCTTGTTTTAAACCTCTTCCAGTAGACGGTAGATTCTCTGCGTTGCCGTCGGGGGTTACATTACATGTAGGGGGGGGCTGGGTACATCGTAGCCACAGGATGCGTCTGCATCAATCCCTGGGCCTCTGGTTTTGCTCGCAGTGCGGGTATTATGCCAGTAGCGCCATCGGGTGCTTGGGTCAAGAATGTCTCAGGCGAACGAATGCGAATCGAGCTGAGTATTTAAATCGGATCGAAACCGATCGATGGCCAAAGGCTTTAAGCAAGGCCGAGAAGCTCGCTCGTAAGCGCTCGTAGGTTCGTTTCGACTCGCATCGCGACTGTTCTCACTCACTCACCCCTTCCTTCTTCCTCCTCCTCCCTCCTCCCTCCCCCCGTCCCCTCCCCCCTCCCCCCTCCTCCCTCCTCCCTCCTCCCTCCTCCCTCCTCCCTCCTCCCTCCTTCTGCTTCCCTCCTCCGTCCTCCGTCGTCCGTCGTGCGTCGTCCGTCGCCCGTCGTCCGTCGTCCGTCGTCCGTCCTCCCTCCGTCCTCCGTCCTGCGTCCTCCCCCTCACCCCCGCCTCCTCCCACTCCCCCTTACTACTCCCCAGGTTCCCAGAGGGGTCTCAAGTTCGAACTGCACACCACCAATCAGCCTTCACAAGATACCCGCCGTGTTGCGGGCCTACTCGTGGGAGGCTGGTTGTGGCCGTCCGCACATGCGGGCTTCGACACTTCGCGCATTCGAGCGCCAAGCCTCGCCACCTCTTCTTCTGAGAGTGGGGGGGGTCCTCGGCTTTACTGCTACACGGCATCTTTCGGGGGCCGGCGCCAGAGGGGGCATTTAGTTATATGAACTATAGCATGACATCTGGAACCAAACTGCACCTGGCAGACAGGACAGCGAGCATCCTCGCCGACAAACCTTTTAGCAGAACATCGCCACCCAAGCACCATCATTTTATGTGAGAGCAGAGCTTGGTGGGCGGCAAAGGACGGAGGACGAGGCACACCCAAGTCACGACGCACCCCACACACGTAACGACGCGAAGGAGGAGGAGAAACGGCAGCAAGGGCCGAGTCGGCCGCCGAGTCGCTATACAACAGTTTCTGCACCAGCGGGCTCCATGGGGAGCCAGCTTCACGGAAGGAATCGCCCCAGGCCATCGGATATCCCAAGGGCTCGGGGGAGAAAGCTCCGAATGCCAAATCACTCTCCCGCGCTGCAAAGCTAAGTCACTGGGAATGAGACGAGTCCACGGGAGACGCTCACCTTTCACCTGCACGCGCAACCGCGCATGAAGCTCCACTGGGGCATGCAGCAGCAAACGTCTCATATACACAAGCCTGGCTCTCTGCAGGATGCAACCGGTTGACGGCATGCCCATCCTCTCTCTAACTACACAAGCACGATGCTCAACGTGTTGGCAACGTGACTCACCAACAATCGTACGTAGAGGACGCATCATGGCGGTATTCAGCGCGCGAATGCACTGACGGCTCGGCACAGCGATATGAGCGTTGAAGAACAAGCGTGTGAACAGCAATGCATGCACTAGATGAAACTTCACCCAATCGCGAAGTGCCGACGAGCCGAACGCTCTAGAGGCCAACGGAGAATCAACAACAAGCGGTGCCTTCTCTTTGTGTCTGGCGTCTGCCACGCAATTCACGCGAAGAAAAAGCATCGAGCCCAAGTGCCTATGCCTATCGACTTCCAACAACCTCCTATCGCTGCCTGGCCCAGGGAACGAGAGGGGGGCTTCAAAAAAGTAGGGCTCCCAAATATTGTGGCTCTTCTGGCCGCGAAACTGGACAAACGCTTCCGTTTTGCCGCGGGGCCAGGTGATGTCGAGAATGAATGAAAAGAACGTCTCAACCAACGCGCTCAACAGCCTCACTCGACCTCTGAGCCGTGCTACACACAAGCATGATGCACTCATCATCCACGAGGGCACAGTCTGCGACACTGCAGGTGCGTTCGTAAGCGGCGGATCGGTCCGACCAGAACTCGCCCTCAGGGGCCTCCAGCACCTACAATTAACCTTCGCTGTTCAGACGGGCCTGCATCGCGCGTGCTACGCAATGGAATACACAGCGTTGAAGCCCATCGCCGCTACCTTGCACCCCTGGCGCCCCCCGGCCCCCCAGCCGTGGGCGAACTGCCTCGCCTAGCGATCCTATGCTGAATCACAAATCCGAGTGTAGCGAACACAGGAGCTCACGCACGCATTTGTATACCTGCCAATGGTCCCGAAGGGGTCCTTTCTCTTCCATCAGCTGCAGCATCTGCTGGGCTACGTGATTTTCGAAATCCAAGGACTCGAGGCACTGCGGGCGCGCAAATCGAACAGGCTGGACATGAAGGAAAGCCGAATACGAACACTCTCAATACTCTGTCAAAGGCCATGGCGAGAACGACGGACATTATGCGCGCAGACCACGCGCGCTTCTCCGCATGCGCGATCATGCTCTGATCGATGCGCCTTGCGTAGTCGGTCCCGCGACGAGGAACAGCTCCGAACTGAGCAGCGGACATCTTACTGTTGTAGATGGGGTCGACGCTACCTTTCAAGCGCCCCGCGAACGACTTGCCCGGGCGGCCTGCGAGTAGGATACCACGATCGTGGTTGCGCTCTTGAGTATCTCCTTTGCCGTTGAATAGAGAAGCCGCCTTCCCACCCGACCGCAAACGTGGCCAAGCCGACGGCTCGATCGCATTCAAGCGCAGGGCGAGGGGCCAATCGCCTGCCTGGAGGAGCTCTGCTCGGACCCCACCAAATCTTAAACCGCTGTTCTTCGCAAGCCTCTGGGGCGCCTCGTAGGTAGCCTCTGGGAACATGGTCAGACTAGGGGGCCGCCGCCAACAAATACTAAAGTGTTCGTTCCTGGCGGCTCTCCGGCATGACGTCGGCCAACTTCTCGACGTCCGCTGTGAAAACCTTACTGTAGTGCTGCAGCCATGCAAGATCGCGGTCGGCAGGCGAAACAAGTAGAACGCCCGAGTCCATCCGAACATCCGTGTTCCCACGCGCTCCACCCTTCGACGGCATGCGCGCGATCTTACATGCGCTGGCAAACTTACCATTGAGGGCCTGCGTGTCCAGCTCAGCCGCATGCCCTTCTAACATGATATAGCGGTCTATGTCGCACTGGTTTGAGCAGATCTCTCAGGACACACCGACTATGTACGGCACATGCCAGTTCATATAAATCAGCTGATAATCCACCACGGCCTGCCACCCATTTCGACATGATGATGCGCCCGGGCATGGAGCATGCGTCTGAGCCAGTAGAACTTGAAATGTTAGACGCATCCGCTGAAGACGCTGCTGCTGAAAAAGATCGTGGACGTGCCGACAGAAGGGGGGGCGTTCCACCGCAGCACAGTCCAAGTGCGATCCGAACTTTCTTGTTTCCGGATGCTGCGAAAGCTGCTTGACGCGCGCGTGCATTTTGAAATGCTCAACTTTCCCTGTCGGGTCATGGCCTTCCACCAACTGATGCCCCCACGTCTTGGCTCTGAACCTCTCCGGGCGCACCGAGTCGCCCAGCTGGCGACGACCAAAATCGAGAAATGAAACTGCGAGATGCGTTCTCAATCACCGCAGGCTGCATATCCGGATGAGGTGCAACACGCTGAGCAAGTACAACGCGATGATCCACACACTGGTCGAATGTGAGATCCAAGAACTCCGGCACCTGAGCCGTCACTGCTGATGAGTGCTGGTCACGTAAGATACACATGTAGTCCAAACTGGAAGGCTTACCACACGATGGCTTCCATGTCCACTCACCCGCTTAAAAGGCATTGACGGCCAGCATGCGCCGCGACTCGAGCGCGGCCCGCAGGAAGGCGCCATTCACGTTTTCACGAGCCACCCCCACCTGCCCAAAGGAACATGACTTCACTGAGCCCACTCTGGCAGTAGCATTCATGGTGATGACCGCATACGCCGTAGGAAATCGACGTCGCCACTTGGTAATCGACTCCTGCAAGGACCCAAACTGTTGCCGCTGCTCGGCTGAAGTATGCGAATGAGGTGCACGCGCAGCCACCGCAGGAAGAGGAACGCGATCCCTGCCCTTATCTGACGCGACGGTGCCTGCCACGATCACAATGCGAGTACTCGGCGCCCCCCAGGCATCCAGACGGAACATCATGTCGCAGCTCGCCCGCAACTGAGTGCCGCGGTTGCCTTTGGCGTCAGCCGCCGCGCAATACATCGAGAAACCATGTGCCAGAACGGACCTGCTCCGCTCTGCTGCGTCCTTCTTGAACCCCAATCATTCGAATTCCTGCATATTGGAACTGCGCCTCAAGTAAGGCTGCTTTCGACATCAAGGTAGCGCCCACCACCTTCATGTAGCTAGCCATTTCCTGCTTCGGGCACAGCGTGCGCACGTTGCCCGTGGCGCACAGCACCCTCGCCACAGGCGGTGGAGCACCCGACTGAAAAACTGAGGCACCCTCGGGCCCATCGGACCCAGAAGCTGGGGGTCTGCTTGCACCGCGGCCTCCGACGTGCGCGACCTGCACGTCGGCCTCCATGGATTCGTCGCCCGCGCCAGCTGGCGTGAGCTGAGCGTTGGCCTCGGACGCGACCTTCTGGAGCCCTGGGAGTGGGGATGGGGATGGGGATTGGCCAAGCAATGCCGAGACACGGCAACCGACTGAGCATGCGCCCCCACCCGCGAGAAATCACGCCGCACAGCAACGCGAACAAAGAGCTCACCTCCGCGCCCATCCACCCCCGTCCTTCCCTTGTCATTTTTCGCGTGCAGTGCTTACTGGTCACCGCCCAAGCTCTAACGGCGCACTACGACAAGGTGAACAGGCGGACGACGAAATGTATAATCAGCCACACAGCATAAAGTAATACGCCAGACGAACTGGTTCACAGGAAGCACAGGGGGGGAGGGTCAGTCACCAAAGTGCGAGGTCATGCACGTGTGCGCGATGATGACCGCCATGATATGCTTCTCCGCCTCCTGCATGGTCGTCTGCGGGACCACTGGAGACGACCGCATGTCGGCGATGACCCTGGACAGGCTCTGGGTGGAGGCCTCCAACGATTTCGGAGCGTTGGCGGCGAGCGCCTTCAACTCCTGGCCTCTGCGTCCGCATCGGCCTGACGGACATCCTCCTGCGCCTTGGCCAGCGCCTTCTTGCTGTCGAGGCGGAGCTTGTCGGCTCGCTCCACCGCCGACCTGCGCGAGACCAGCTGGCTGCTGAGCGGCTTCGAGAGGGTGATGGTGCGCTTGGCCTCCTGGATCTGACGCTGCAGGAGGTCGCGTGTGGCCTGGAACTCCTCGCCAGGCGCGCCGCCAAGGAGGTCTCGAGGCTCCTGATCGTAAACCCGCTGTCGATGCTGGGATTCGGGCCCGCTGCAGAGTACAAGGTGGTCGGGCCAACTGCCGAGTCCAAGGATGAGGTTCTCTGCGCCCACTGGGGAATCACCTTGGCCTTGTCTGACTGCACCATCTGGGCCCAACTCTTCTTCAAGCCACATGTTTTGCCTTTCTTCGCAGCAACTTGGTTCCACGCCTGGCAGCCTTCGGCACGGTACTGCCACCACTGCTCCTCCTGCCACCAATGCTTCTGCGACGACCACCACGCCATCTGAACAGATGTAAGCGATCAGCCGAGAAAGTAGCAGTGCGGAACGTAGGGTGACTTCATGACTAACAGGCACCCCTGGCCATTTGAGCCAAAATGGATACGGACCTCCTCCTCCTCTTCCTCCTCTGCCTCTTTCCTCCCTCCTCCCTCCTCCTCCTCCCTCCCCTCTCCCCCCTCCCTCCTCCCTCCTCCCTCCTCCTCCTCCTCCTCCTCCTCCTCCTCCTCCTCCTCCTTCTTGACCATCTCTCGCCCCGAGATCGCTTCAAGACGCTCCCGAGGCCCGGCGAGGACCCCCGGAGGCCGAAGGCTGCGAGGAACCGCCCGCCCCCATTTTTGTCGGATCGTCGGCTCTCTGGGGCCCCGACCTCCGACGCCCCTCCTTCATCTCTCCTCTCCTCTCCTCTCCTCCTCCTCCTCCTCCTCCTCCTCCTCCTCCTTCCTCCTCTTTTCCTCCTCCTCCCCCTCTCCTCTTCTCCTCCTCCTCTTCTCCTCCTCCTCTCCTCCTCCTCCTCCTCCCTCCTCCTCCTCTTCCTCCTCCTCCTCCTCCTCATAATATTATTAGTATTAGTATTATTAGTATTATTATGATTATTATTATTATTGCTACTATTAGTAGTATTATTATTGATACTATTTTTCTTCTTATTAATATCATTAGTATTAATATTTTTATTATTATTAGTATTATTATTATTAATATTAGTATTCTTAGTATTATTATTAGTATCATTATTATCATTATTATTATTATTAGTATTCTTGCTATTATTATTGTTATTATTATTCTTATTATTGGTAATATTAGAATTAGTAGTATTATTATTATTATTAATATTATCATTATTATTAGTATCATCAGTATTATTATTATCATCAGTATTATTATTATTATTATTATTATTAATATTATTATTATTATTATTATTATTATTATCATCATTATTATTATTATTCCTCCTCCTCCTCCTCCTGCTCCTCTACGCCGGCCCGCCTCGACGATCATGTCGCCCGGCAGGATCTCCTTGTCCGGGTGGGCCTGCTCAGGGGGCAGGGGACGGGGAAAGCGGGGGGAGCAGCGAGAAGGGAGGGATGGAGGCAGGAGGGAGGGAGGGAGGGAGGCGGGAGGGGGGAGAGAGGGGGGAAGGAGGATGAAGAGGGATGAGGACACGGAGAGGGGAGGCGGAGATCAGCATAGTAGGGGGAGAGGGGAGGGGGGGGAACGGAGAGAGAAAAGGGACGAAGCGGGAGCAGGAAGAGGGGGCAGGGAGGGAAGGAGGGAGGCGGGCGCGGGAGGCGGGAGGGCAAGAGAGGGGGGAGGGTGAGGAAGGAGGGGGTCAAGGAGAAGGGAGGCGGAGAAGGGGAGGGAGGGAGGGAGGGAGGTAGGGAGGGGGAGGAGGGGGAAGGGGAGGGAGGGAGGCGGAAAACCGACCCTGTTATCCCGCCGGATAACCCCTCCTGCAATTGACCCAATTGAAGGATGTGCCCAGAAACAATCTCTACGAACTGCGAGCAGCCTGCGGGGACCTTCCGCTATTCCACGCTTATTTACAGGAGGTCCCCAAAGGCCGCCAGGACTGCGGTTCTGGGAGCCTCTGGAGACCTCCCGTAGTTGAAGCCAATTAAAGGAGATCCCCAGAGGCCGCCAGGACTGTGGTTCTGGAAGCCCCTGGGAACCTCCCGTAATTGAAGCCAATTGCGAGAGGTCTCCAGAGGCTGCCAAAACCAGAATCCTGGCGGCCTCTGGGGACATCTCGCAATTGGCTTCAATTACGGGAGGTTCCCAGAGGCTCCCAAAACCATAAGCCTGGCGGCCTCTGGGGACCTCCGGTAATTCGAGCCAATTACGGGAGGTCGGCATAGGCTCCCAGTGCCGCAATACTGGCGGCCTCTGGGGACCTCCCGCAATCAGCTTGAATTACGAGAGGTCCCAAGAGGCTCCCAAAACCAGTCCTGGCGGCCTCTGGGGACCTCCCGTAATTACCTTCAATTGCGGGAGGTGGGCATTCGCTGCCAAAAACACAGCACTGGCGGCCTCTGGGAACCTCCCGCCATTAGCTTAATGATGGGAGGTTGGCATTGGCTCCCAGAGCCACAGTCGTTGCGACTTCTGGGGACCTCATGGAATTGGCGGCCTCTCTGGGGACCTCTCGGAATTGGCTTCAATTGCGGGAGGTTCCCAGAGGCTCCCAAAACGATAATCCTGGCGGCCTCTGGGGACCTCCGTCCTGGCGGCCCCTGGGGACCTCCCGCAATTGGGTTCAATTACGGGAGGTATCCCAAGGCTCCCAGAACCACAATCCTGGCGGCCTCTGGGGACCTCCCGCAACTGGCTTCACTTGCGGGAACTCCCCAGACGCTCCCAGAGCAAACAATCCTGGCGGCCTCTGGGGACCACCCGTAATTGACTCCAATTACGAAGGCCACCAGATGCTCACAGAGCCGCAATCCTGGCGGCCTCTGGGAACCTCCCGCAATTGGCTTCAATTGCGGGAGATTCTCAGAGGCTCCCATAACCACAACCCCAGAGGCTCCCAGAACCACAATCCTGTCGTCCTCTGGGGACCTCCCGTAATTGAAGCCATTTACCAGAGATCCCGCAAAGTGCTGTGGTTCTACGAGCCTCTGGGACCCCCCCGAAATGTAAGCCAATTGCGGGAGGTCCCCTGAGGCTGCCAGAACCACAATCCTGGCGGCCTCTGGAGACCTCCCGTAATAAGCTTCAATTGCGGGAGGTTCCCAGAGGCCCCCAGAACCAGAAGCCTGGCAGCCTCTGGGGACCTCCCGTAATTCGAATCAATTACGGGAAGTCGGCATACGCTCTCAACGCCGCGATCCTGGCGGCCTCTGGGAACTCCCATGAGTAGTTTGAATTACGGGAGGTCCCCAGAGGCTCCCAGAACCATCGTCCTGGCGGCCTCTGGGGACCTCCCGTAATTACCTTCAAGTCCGGGAGGTCCCCAGAGGCTCCCCAAACCACAATCCTGGCGGCCTCTGGGGACCTCCCGTAATTGGCTTCAATTGCGGGAGGTCCCCAAAGGCTACTAGAACCGCAGTCCTGGTGGCCTCTGGGGACCTCCCGTAAACGAGCGTGGAATGGCGGGAGCTATTCGCAGCGGATAGCGCGTCGCAGCGAACGCTACCCCTTGCAAGCGGATAACTAGCGCGTCGCTTCGCTCCGCGGGGCGGGATGCCGTGAAAAGTTCGAAGAGTTGACGCCTGGTGACCGTGATGTGGACACCGTCGGGCTCGATTGGAGACCGAAGCGAGCCCTGCCTACTCCCCCGCCCCCTAACGTTACCAGAACACACGCTACATAAAAATGACTGTTGGGAGGTCCGCGCGGATTTCTGGGATCTGGACTTAAGTCGGGCCTGTCCCCTTCAACGAAAAATTAAACATATCCCCCAAATGCCCCCAAATACACCAAAATAGTCCAAAAGTCGCCCCCAGACTATTTTTTGACTATTGTTGAATCTTCCCCCTGTCGAGGGACACGCCCGATTGAAAGCTACACAAACATGACTTTTGGGAGGTCCGCGCGGATTTATGGTATCTGGACCCCCTCCCTGGCGTGCGGAGCGCGTCAGGGGCGGCGCCGGAGGCGCCGCCAGGGGCGGCCAGCGCCGATCCAAGGAATTCGCACGGAGCTTGAAGTCGGGCCTGTCCCCCTACAGGGGGATTTTGGGTGAAAAATGAAACATATTCAAAGCATGCTCAAAAGATGCCCAAAACTACTCATAAAATAGTCCCCAGACAATTTCATTTTTTTTGACTACTTTTGGATATTCCACCTGTAGAGGGACACGCCCGACTTCAACGGAGCTCCGAAAGTTTATGTTCACAGTCGGGGTCGCTTGGACAGGGCACGCGAGAGGACGCAAGACCCTTCCGAGGGCCACGTTGCCACGCGAATGCAGAAGGCATGGATCGCGAAGCGCAGGACACGAGGGGGCCATTGATTCGGCAGGGTCGGCCTGGGAGTCAGCGCCGCCTGCCATGCGTCGCGCCGCAGCGCGGTGGGCCCAGACCGGCGGAGCGACACGCTAAGCTGAAGCTCCTGACCTATAGAGACCTCCTAGATGGCGTCCAAGTTGATGGGGTCGGAGGATCGCGCCGCATCGCCGATGCGTCGGCGATGCATCGGCGATGCACCGGCGATGCATCGTCGACGTGGGCGATACATCGGCGACGTCGACGTGAAGCAAATCGGGCTCCACATCGAGCCGCATCGCCGATGCATCTGCGATGCGGCGCGGTCCTCCGACCCCATCCGCTCCGAACCCACCCAGGAGGCCTAGGGACACGCTAAGCTAACATTCCTGTACATCCCTCGCGGGCGCGGAGAGTGCCGTACGGCCTCGCTCCACGCGGCCACCTGTCCCCCGCGCGCGAGAGTCGTCCTCCCAGACCTCCTCTCACGGGGCGCGCTCTGACCATGTCGGGGACGTACTGATGACCCGGGTCAACGCAAACCCAGGTCAGTGAGGCCTTGCAGGATACTGCAAGATCCTGCAGGATCCTGCCCCAGACATGCGACGTCCTGATTTTTTCAATACGGCGTTCCCGGAAGTCCCGACCCTTTCCCCAGGACCAGCTTTTCGTCCCGAGTCTTCTTTTGACGCTCCCGGGGCCCTGCGAGGGCCCCCAGGGGCCGAAAATAGCGAAAAACTTGCCGTCCTGATTTTGTTC